TTGTTTGTTACGCGTTCACGCCTAAACCATTAAAACGATTTTAAACATTCTTTCACTAATGGAATTTATCGGCAAATAACAAAGACTACTTTTTTTGGCTACTTTCTTTTACTTTACCGCGATAACCGACATACACGTGGTTCATGAAGGAGTTTTCACGTCACAAACATACATTGTCTATGATTTAAATAATATTTAATTACAACATTTTTTTGCATTTCAATAGAATATTAATTCAGTATCTTGCTAGCTGATACAATTTGTATCATCGCGATTGAAAATAAGTAGCCGTGAGCTATTGCCAACTTTTTAGCTCGTTAACTTTATTACACCGTGAGTCGGATTGTGATTGCAAAGACTTGTAAGATGTTACTTTGTGGCTTTGTGATTTCATCTTGTGACGTCGTAAATGAGAAACTTAATTTTAATCACCGTAGTTATCAAGAAGACTCGCTAAAAGGGATCAATTTTATTGAAACTCATAAAAATAATGATGTTGTGTGTTATTTGAATTTTTAAGGCTACTGGAGTTATAAATTACGGTCTTATTTTTTCTTTTTTTAAATATAAGTTACGCATTAGTAGTATTTTTTTATAAATATTCAAACAACAGCCATAAAAAACACTCAGTCCCAAGACCTACTTTATGGATTACACAAATTATCCCGTATGATAATCAAGCCCCCAACATTTGGTTCTATTTTATATATAATGATAATGTAGTTGGTACCACCTGTCTGGTCACTTTATTTTTTAATAAGAAACGTCGTATAATATCGGTTTTTATATTAGACAAAGACTTGAGATTAATGTTATAATAATATGTCATTCTCCTAGAATATGGCAATAAGATAAAGGTACAAAAATGTTCTATACATGTAATTTGGAGTTACTCTAATGTGAACTAATTTTGGCCCTAAAAACAGCGCTATCAGCGCTTCTCTGCTACTAAATGTGATCTTGCTATATATAGGAGTGGGCAACACATAAATAACAAAAGACACAATTGATGTTAGTACAGCTTACAACCAAAGATAATAGTCCAAAAAGTATCCAATTATGGACCGTAGAGGCAAGGAGAAATTACAATGGGCAGAAAGTTGAAAAAGTGTCCAGTATACTGAAAACAGAGGTCGCTGGCGTACGAAAACGATATGAACATAGCTGTTACGGCGTAGACGGAGCGAAGTGTGCTGAGTACAAATATTATAATACTTTAATAGTCTGAAAGTTATTCACGCTTATTTATTGTCTGTAAAACTCATTGATTACTTTTGCAGTCTAGTACACAGTGTCTAATTATTATTTAAGCCAATATAAATTTATCCTATGCCGGATCCTATTGCGCGTTTCACAGACACATTTTATACATAGAGATGGTTCTCCTTGCCTCTACCCGCCATATATCCAATGAAGAAATTGTAATGTTATGGCCGACCACCACAAAAAGATTATAAAGTTTCCACTCCTTAGAAGTACAAATATTATTAAGGCAGTACAAAATTCTGAAGCATAATTTTTTATTGACCGTTACACAAAACGATTACAGGAAGTTATTAATACTCTGCTGCGCAGGATTGTCTTTCAGCTCAGCGTTTGTAAACAACTTGGTAATGTGTTCCTAAGTAGTCTCTTGTGACACTAACATGTTGATAATTACATGAACGAAATTAATCCTGTTTTGTGAGCTTAAAGAACCTTGAGCGGTGCATTGAACATTAATTTTGAATTGCTGGGGATTATACTAGCGCACCGCTTCAGCTCAGAAAGTAACTCTTAATTTAAATTTAGATTTTAAGTATTGTGTTCTACAATGCCATAAAAATCTATGAAGATAGGTGTATAATGGTAGGTATCATAATAGGGTTTTTACTGTAAATTCATATAATCACAACTAATAATGAGAGTTACACGTAAATGACAACCAGACGAATTACCTTAGATCATTCAATACAATTATCTCAAACGAGTCGCTGCATAGGTGCTGAACAAAAAAGGGAAAAATGTCAATGAACTTTAATTGTATACACGAGCTGGCCCTAGACCAGATGAAACTAAATATTCTCACATGTATGAATATATAAACTAACGCAAAAATGTTACAGCTTATGTAGAATTTCATAATCTTTTTCTAATTTTCTTAGTTCGATAACAATATATATTTACATATTTGTTAATTTTATGACGCATTCATTCGGATATTTATATTCTCTATAACTAAATATATATCTGCATGTTCGTTGCAAGGGACAAAGTAAAAGACAAGGAGGTACCTATTTTCGCAAAGGGAATGGAAAATGACCCTTACTTGGGCGAGCAAAAACTAAAGCTAGCTGGCAAGCCAAAAGCGATCTACTAAATTAAAATAACATTTTCGAGGTAATACACCGATGAGGTAGAACACCCTAAAATTTAACTAAACCAGGAGGGTATGTTTCGCTACTTAAATTTGCATGCCAAAGGCGAGGTGTACGCATAAGTTTCTAAGTTAAATTAGACAAGAAACTGGTATTTTATTCAATACAGTAGTCGTCTCTTCACAGAATTAGGAAGTTGTTAAAATATTTCACCCATAACATTACTGTATTTTACCTACTGTAAGTTTCGGATAAAAACCATATTATAATTAATTTACATAATATTGGTGAGGTTCTAATAATTCGTTAAGAGCTGAATTGTTACGAATATTGAGAACAACTTGCAATTAGGTGCATCAAAGTCGAGTATAATTATTTCTTTAAGTTATTATTATAGGTAAGTAACATGCATATATATTTATTTTTATTAGAACATATATAAGCTGCAGATGATGGCAGTGGTGATGCGTAGGAAACATTCAATTATATGTATAATTGGACCGGAAAGTAAAAAACCTTTCCTGCCACAACTGAGTTTTTTACAAGGCGCACGAGGTATAGCTCCACTCGTATGAATTAGGATAAAGATTACAGACAGACTTAAACTGAGATTCACGTTAAACTATAACACCCCTCCTTTTGCGTCGGGGGTTAAATATTACTCTAGATTATTCGTTAATTTTTTTAATATATTTAAAACAATTGGTTAGTAATTTGAAACAACTAAGTCTGATTTTTTTTAAAAACATATGGTCCAACCAACCAGATTTTCTTGCTAACCAATTTCTCTGATTACTATGGATCGTTTTTAGACATTTTAAGACTAAAACTCAAAAATAGACCACGATACGAAATAGATTTCACTTTATGTTAATGACGTTTTAAAGTAACTCCTTCAATTAAAAAAGACGTAGTTCCAACAAAGAAGATGTATTTAATTTTTAATCTAAACACACAACATTAACGAAAAAACCAATAACATAAAACTGAAGTTGATTCATATGCCAAGTTGCATTCATAAACATATCAGAATGCTATAAACGTTTCACGACTATACCTACCTGCGTGCAGTTTGTCTCACAACACATCTGAAATATAATATTAAGTGACAAACAAACATACAGCCTCTCTGGTGTTGAACAGTGGCAGTAATCTATTACCGTTTCTAAGTAGTTTTAGCCAATTTTAATTAAATTGATGACTACACTACTGAAGCACTTCAATCAAAAATTTTGAATTCTTTAAACGTTAATCAATTTAAATTGTGACCTTGTATATATACGCCGAAGTTCGGGGTATTGCACTGATACTTAAAAAATATTTTCTGATTATTTATTACATATGTAAGTTCCTCCTAATAAAAATTAGGAGGAACTCATAATTTTACCCGTAATTTTCTAGTAATTTCATAGCAACATTCTCCGCTTTGTAGAATGTCTTCCTTAACAGTAACAAGTCAGTGTACTTATATATTTTTCGCATACTTTGTATGCTTTGCTAAAAGACCGGATTAATAAATAACAATTAACTATCATCCTTATAAATAAATGGGATGTCAATAGGGATAACTCTAATAATTATGTCTATAACTAATAAACAATATTGCTATATACTTTTCAAAGTATAACCTAGAGGTCAACAAGATAAGTATGTATTACATGTACACATTAGGACTTAAAAAACTTTCATTTTTATCACGTGACTCAACGTCTCGTCAGTGTCCGATGTCACGTGTTACTTTGAAATGTATACCGTACGAAGCTAACATGATACGGAGAAGGTCCAATCATATTACTCATTATATTATTTTTCTTAAGTAGTAGCATCAAGTAGTATTTCGACCTTTTTTTTTAATATTATTTTCCTTTGACTAAATACATATAATCCGAAGTTATCGTTAAATTTTAATTAATTAATTTTTAATAAAATATTTACTATAAATATTTTTTTTAAATTGGATTCAAAATTCAAAACTTTAGAGGCAAAAGGCTAACATACGCATTATGTTCATTATAGTGGGGAAGAGGGATAGTTCGTAAGTTATCATACGTTTAGTAGTCGGTTAAATCACTTTTATACCTTTAACAAAATCCATTAAAATGAACGGTATCAAACAAAATAAACCACAAATCACGGTTAAAAAAATACCCTATCTATTTTCCTGTCATTAACGTCAAACATCTGTGACTGCAAAAATTCGTCACAAATAATCTTTAACATGGCGCTTAAGTCACGCTGCAAATCTGAATCAGAAAATTATCTACTCATAAAATGTAGTACGTAGATGTAAGACTATATTAACTGAGAAATAACACTAATCTGATTCTGGTTTCGTCAGTCATTGGCATTAATTGGTTTCGGTATCGAAAAAAATATCAGTGCATGGTAGCTTGCGGGCACGGGCGGGCGCTCAGTCCGTTCGTTTACAATATATGGTTTAATCTCTGTGTATATTTTGGGGGCGTTGTCGTGGTGTATCTCATTGAAAGTAAGCCCTACCACCACAAGCCGGTCAATTGTTTAGTGCTATGTGCGTCGATCAGTCGCGTTTGCCCCACCGTACCTCGTCGCCGCCCGCGCCGCTCGCCAATCAAAATGACATTCTCAATACATTGACTTTAAATTAAAAAAAAAACATTCAACATGTGTTGTGCCAGGTACACCAATTACCTGTTCCGTAGTGTTGTGAAATACACATGTGGATTAGCAAGCCGCGAAAGTAAGTACAACTTGCGTCGATCGTTCGCCACACATGAAACATAGAGATGTGTTCCCGACTCTAAAATTAAACCCGATAACGCTCTGAGCTCTCAGATACTTTTATGTGACTACAAAATTCATTGCAGCTTATCAACGACGGTGGTTCATTAACTTCATTGTTGTGTTTATACTTAAGAGTATCTTTTTATTCCCCGATTTGCTAAATAACAAAAACTAGGTATCTAACGTCGCAAAATAACTTGCATTCTTATGTGGAACAAGAGAATTTAATGCTCAATCGCAACACGTTTGCACTTTCTAGAATGTTACCATGAATTAATTTGTAAACGTAGACTTAAATAAGACATATAACTACTCATTTTGTTAAATAATCTTGTGTTTTATATCTAAAAATATGCGATTATGTTTGAAAACAATAACTAACAGCTGTTCCGCAACACGAATTCATGCTACCCGAAACACCTTTTTTGATGTGTTGCATAAATTTATAATGAATTAACGTTTAAACTGTATAAATAAACATTTTACTTTATATGTTCAGTTGGCAGACACGCCCATTTGACATCGTTTGATATTGGTAATAACCAAAAATTCCAGCGCATAGAATTATATTAACATCACGTAAAAATGCATTTAAATGACGTAAACAAGCAGTTTAAAAGTCAAGGTCACACGAATCATTCTACTGCAATCCATTACAATAAAAATTATTAAACAACTAAAGACTAAAAACAACTAAAACATAAATACAATAAGAAATCTTTATTAATGAAATATTTGGAAATTTACGGCTAGCTTATTCCCACGGTACACAAATATACAGCTATTACTACCATAAATACTAAAGTATTTTAACAGTTTAATATAATTATGACCACTAAGTGTTTTGTCATACTGAGGTGCAAGGGTATACATAATGCTAATCATATTAAGTTGGCTCGTATAGTGTCCCATGCGGGCTACATTATGCCTACCCTCACCAATATTCATCGCTCATATACCTTCAACCTTAACTCCATTAATCAGAGTCGTCCTCGATTGTTTATTGTTTTTAACCCTGATGTTTTAGGTAGTTTTTAGTCATCATTATCATCATAATTTCTTAATGTCATTCATGATCGTCATCAACCAAGTTGTACCATTTCTTTACACCAACTTTATTGTTCATATACACTGTTATTATAATAATTAAAGTTATAACAAAACAGTTTTAAATAGACCATCATCACCAGATAGTTATTACGAGATATTTATGATGATACATTTATTTTTCCACTCGCTTCTGCCCATGGCTTCGCTTGCGTGAATGGGTGGCGGGTAGCGCAAAAATTTTATCAAATTTTTTTCGGGATGAAAAGTAGCATACTCGTATCTACTATTCAACTCTATAATTTATCTCTGTACCAAAATTTATCTAAATCTGTTAAGCCGTACTGGCGTGCTTAAGTAACAAACATCCAGTCATTCAAACTTTTGCTTTCCTAATAGTAGTAAAATAATAATTTTAAAATTTTATTTGAAGCTATCGTATCTGTGCTAAGCTTTATGTACCTATATTTTTATTGCTTTAAGCCTACAAATCAGAATTACTTGATTGTGAGTAGCCGTCTGGCTGCTGATCTGCCGTATTAATTACGTCCTCTGTTTAAATAAGTAATAGTCTGTAAGTATAACACGTAAAATGAATAATGAAGTCACTCGGTCAGCTTCTCATAACAACCATTTAAAATCATAAATAAAATGTAAGAGGAAACTATTGCAATCAATTATCATTTTATTCCTTCTGACGAAGAAGGCGTAGGACATATGACGCACCCATTAGAGATATATATTTACAAACATTACATATTGTGTTATTGTGTAGGTACTATATTATTAATTAGTGTACGTTATAAGTCAATTTTAATTTCATCAAATGTAAGTTTTTGAATTTTATTACACTTGTCAAACATATAGTGAGTCAGAGTGCAACGTTCTTTTTTTTCAAATTACGTCCGCGGTCAACTGGCATAAGAATGCCAAGGCTCTCACCAATAAAGCAATTTGAACCGTATTCAATGTAATTAAAAAACATCTAGTTTATATCAAGTGGACAGTTATATATTATAAATGACCAATAATAATGAAATGCTTACGCGAAGAAGTCACGTGAATCTTGAACCAAAAATAAATAAATGTATAAATCTAGCGTGTCAATTTTTATTTCCAATTGAACGAATAAGCCAGTGACCTTGACACGACGGCCAAACATTATCCTTTTGTCTCAATTGGCCGGTAATTGCTGGGGACGTCTTCAGCTCGGTTCTATTCTCAGATACAATTTGCACTTACTTACTATTGTCGAATAGCACCTTAAGTGTGGCTCCAGTTAAAAACTTAATTTTATCACTAAAGGGGAAGTATTTAATGAAAATTCCGGTGGTTTGGGTGAAAAATGTAAACCGAAGAATACCTATTGTACCTGTAGATATCATATCTACAGGTATGTCATTCATATTTTGAATATTTTATTTTCTGCAATTAATTAATATGTAAAATAAAATAAATGATCATATACGGGCGATAACGTCATACCAATATCGTAGCAACCGAATATAACTGTATTTTTTTATTTCAGCTGAATTCAAAAGCCAAAACAATATTAGTCAATTATACTTAGTCATTGGAGTTCAATTAATAAAATCTTAATTCATATATTAAATAGTGTAAGTTATAACTAATATCATAAAGGAGTGTACATGTGTGTTCTGTCGAGTTGTACCTGATATGTGATGTGCTTAAGAACTGCATGGATCCACTCGTGGGTTAAATATCCAACTAACCGCTAACTACAAAGGTCACGTTCACTCGGAAGTGTTTAATACAAAGGTGCCTAAAGGTAAGTAATATAAACACTAATAAAATCAATGAGGTACTTGTATTGTTTCTTAGAAGTTTGTGGTCGTACATGGTCATAGAAATCCTGTGATTATATACGTAAGTGTGAGAGGAGGTCAAGGAAGTGAACTCAAGTAAAACTTTAGTTGGCTTTATTGACCTCTAACTAACTGACAAAGTATTTTTGACTGCACGGATGGCGTAGTGGTTTAAGCGGTCGCCACGCCGCTTCCTATTACGCCGAGTGTTGTGGGTTCAAACCCCACATGGAACAACACTTTGTGTGATCCACAAATTGTTGTTCTGAGTCTGGGTGTACTTTGTGTCCGTTTCATGTATGTTTGTAAAGTCCCCCGCGACACAGGATTTATTCCTAGTGCGGGAGTTGTCTTTTTAAAAAAAAAAAAAAAAAAATTTTATGTAATTCCTTCTTTAATACCATACAGTAGGCAAAAACAGGAATCGGCTATAAACGTAACACAATTTTATACATATCAAAAAAATCCTTTTTTAAAAACAGTTGAACCGATTTCAAACAATACTAACAAAGAGCACTAAAAACCTAGCAGCAATAGTGGTTGTTTTGCTGTCATTATTTGGAGAGTTCAATTGTCTGTCTCCAAAACTCATCATCAAGTCTGCATGAAATTTAAATGGGGCCACCACTTTCCGAACAAAAAACCCGTGTATTTGAAATCCGAATTAACTGAATTTTGAAAAGCCGTCTATATATGACCTAGTTATGTCCGAACATGCATAAAAAACACATCCGAATCGATAACCTCCTCCTTTTTGGAGTCGGTTAAAAAGCTTGTAGCATTATTATTTTGAGCCCTTGCAACGATTCAAAATCCTGTAATAGTAAGCTAAAACAGTTGTGTCTATTGTTTTTTTTTTACAAATTATGTTAATTTATTTAACATTATTAAAAACATGTCATATTGTTCAATTAATAAAATACATTTAATATAATAGTTACCATTAACATGATAACAATATTTATGTTCATTCATTATTTAGAAATATAAATACTTTAGGTAATTTAGTGTAGTTGTAACTTTTAATAATATTTTTTGGGCCTGTGGTATTTTATTACTTGTATTTTAATAACAACCAATGACAACAGCCTACTGCCGCAAGAGATACAAATAGACAGGATAAATCTTGGTAATGCTAATTCATTTTTGTGTCTTAAACTATGGGGATCTCTTTAAATGGCTTTCTTTTTAAGTTCTAATCAATATGCGTGTTGTATCAAAACCAAAATGGGTATTTATATATGAGGCAGTCCCACCAGGCGCTGAGGTGGGCTGGAGTGGTATCTTTCTGTAAAGCTGTAATTCTCTAGAAAAAGACCGCTGAACGGTATAGGGAGAGGGCCGATCCCGAGCGTAGAGGACGTCGCCGGCAGTACCATCCGTCGATGGGGCCGGCAGAGAGTAGTGACCTTTGGTGGCATATTACTTGCTGGGGATAGGATGCGCTTTAAGACGCAATCAGGCCTCCACGCCGCGATTGAAGGGGGGATTCAACGACGTTCAAACGATACCACGCCTAATCAGGATTAGGCGTGGTGTCTTTTCGGGGAGGACTTGAAATTACATGGTCCAGGTCCTCCCAGAGCAGGACGCCCGAGGCTGGCCGTCGAGGTGGTTTGTGGTCTAATTACCACATACTCCTAGCTCAAGGAGCAGGATATCGGAAAGGATTTTCCACCCCGTCAACAAAAAAAAAGCCCCACCAGATTTTACTTTTCACTTTATAAGGGCTGGATATGAATGAAGAACAACTAGTGATTCCTAATTTCTAGTAATAGTTTAATTTTCTGTTCAGTCAATGCTTAAAGGTCGTTTCTGAAAGGGAATTGCATTCGTTAATTCCCGAGAAGTCTAATTCCAGATTGTGTTCCGTTAGACGAGTCGTTAAAATCAAATTAGTATTATATTGACACGGTTATTTAGTCCATCTTTAATGTGTGGCAACTACGACTATATCATTAGTCAATGAGACGATGTGTTTTAAACAAAATCAAAATGCATCAAAAATCACCACCTTGTGAATTGAGTTGTAAATTCTTTGAATCTTACATTTGAGATCTCTCCGTCATCATAATTTTACATTTCAAGGTTAAGGTATTGCATTAAGATAAGACAAAAACCATTCTATTGTATTGCCACGTATACCGATTCCATTTAATTTATTCAGTATAATGTTCTATTGTACCCAATAGCTAATCATTTTCCCTACTCGTGACTAAAAGCTACTAATTCTTATCGTTTATGATATTCAAGATTTATTGTATATATCGCTGTTATTGGGTATCTATATCTTCAGAATCCGTATAAGCTTCTCTATAAAGAAGTTCTTAAGTCTTTAAATATACTTTCTATTGCACACTGTTCTACTATTTTCTATATATATTATATCAGTATATATAGTTTCAGTTATTGATTTTTTAAAACTTTATTTTCAATGTCTGAATAATTTGGTTTTTTTTTAAATACCGTTAGAGTACAATAATACTAATGTCAAAAATCGATACAACTAAAACTCGAAATAAAACCATTGACTTTTTACATTCACACAAGTTACTTTAAAAATAATGCATCTATGTACAGGATGGCTGTAATGCATAATTATGTCGGTGTGCTTATTAAAATAAAATAAAAATATTAATATGATATAAGTTAAATGAAACAGTTTGTTACTCATACGAGTAGATTCTTGTATCGTTCGATTACGATTGACAATTGGTAATTTCGTTTGTACACCTATGAAAAGTATGTTTAATGCATATTCAAAATAAAAGTTTGGAATGTTTTGCGAGGTTGAGTTTCAGGTTAACTTTCCACGAAAACAAATTTTGAGGATTTGTAAATTTTGTTAATATGTTATATTTTGTGGTTCTTGTTTGTTTCAATATGAGATCGTGAAAACTACATAATATAAAAAACGCGAATGGATCTCTAAATTACTTTTAACGCCATTATTTCTTCAGAAAAAAGGGCGCTTGGTCGCACAGCGACAGTCCTTAAATGAAAAAAAAAAGAGTTTTCTTTGTAGTTCTACGTATAAGCTAAATCATTTTCAAAATGTTTCATCGCGTTCTGTTTTTCGAAAATATTAAATGCCCTATTATTGCCTATTATTGCCCTACTATTGCCCGCGACTTCGCTCGCGTGATTATTTCTTATTTCTAACTTTGAAAATGTCAACAAACTTCCATACAACCATTACAATACCTTATTTTACCCATAAGGGGTAAAATTGCCAAAATTCTCTGTTACTGAGTGCTTACAAAATTTATATTATTGCCATTGATAACAAATCAATCAGTCAGGGCAAGTAATTTCGTATATATAAATAATAACACGGCGTTTTTTAGTTTTTTTCAATCCAAATCGTGCTTTGTAAATTCTCGCCTGTTGTCATTCTCGCATTATTCCCCGGAGTGGTAACTCACATGTTCGCATCTGTGACATCACCGCCACTAAACTGTATCATCAACTGACTGTCCAGGGCTGGCAATAATCAACAAACACAACTGATTCTCTTAAACTTACAATAAAATAAATAAAACAATCCCATGTCCATTTGCCTTTACGAATTGCATTTTACGAATTATTGAATTATATACAAAAAACTGTTCAGTTGCTTCATAAACATTAATTTTGAGTTTTACGAAATTTTACGTTTAATTAAAATTTAACGGATAAAGCATTCCGTAACAAATAATATTAATTTGAAACATCTATAAATCTGAGTCGTGTTTATTGTTCCAACGATAAATGAATTATTGTTAGTTATTGTGCATTGTTAGTTAGAAGAACAAAATCTCTTGTTTTGTCTTTTCATCTCTTGGGCTTGATACTCTTGTAAGGTCAAATCTCTAAAGAATACATCACCTTTATTTAATTATAGTGTTTTCATTGTAATTGTCATTTTAAAATCGTGATTTACCGAAGTTAAATTCATGATGTTTATACTACTTGGATGTGTTAACATATTATTATATAATATATATTTAAAGAAATGCATATTATGTAGGTAAATATTTTTCCGTTTTAAACAAAAATACGCTTTAATAGCAAACTAAATAAAAAATAGGCAATAGTTATTGATTGTAAATTGTGCGGATTATTTTTTACTACATTTTTATGAAATTTAATAAATACCTACCAACGAAGTATTTGATGTTAAGCACAAAAAAAAAACAACACATGTTTTCTTTTCTATTTTTAAGGGTTATAATAATTTTGATATTTTTCCTCTTCAATTGTCGTGTGTGAAATTCTTGGACCACAGATTATTCAGACGTCTTGAAGTTATTGACCTCACGGTAAAAGATTCATCTTAGTTCTACCTTGTAATTAATATAGAAATGGCTACAATAGATTAGCAGTTAAAACTACGCGAACAGAAGAACTATTTCATGAGTATAACAAGTAACAATTTTACTATTAAGGTAGCGAGTTTCTCGTATTGAACGCACGCCTCGATTGATTGGCTGTCTCCAGTTACAGTGTTGTCGCCACTTGAATCAATGAAGTGCCATTGGCTCATTGTTTAATCGTCTGTTTTATCAGTTGTAATGACCAGACTCGAGAAGCTCGCGCATGCAACTTGTTAAGACGTCCAATTATGATCAACACTGGAACTATGCGACTAATATTGTTCACAACTTGTGCGTTCTATTTATCTTTAACAAAAAAAGACATTTATACGTTAATTTAATTCTTATTTGGAGGTAACATGCGTAGCTTTTCCAATATACCTTTTCTATCTTTTTCTTTCATCGCCACCCTACCATCTGTTCCAACAATATGTTGTTTAATTTAGTCAAAAAGCACACACTGTATTACTAAAGCCGTGTGTTTTTGTTTGACCTTTGAACGTATTCAATGCTAGTTTTATGAAGAAATATAACGGCTCTTTGTGCTCCAATTGAGTGTAGATCGACAAAGTAAACCTCGGATCGAATTCGTCATCATGTATCGTAGCCCTGTAATGTGATTCTTGTTATACTTTCAACAAGTGGGGAACAATAACAAAGTTCATACTCAAATTTTATTTACGAGTAGTTAGCTGTTTTAAAAGCGAACAACGCGAACGTGAAAGCGAATGCAGTAAAATAACAATAACACATTGGCAACATTATAGTGCCTCAGGCGTCCGGGTCCACACCATTGTGAGCCTGTGCTGGGTACCTCGCAACACTATTGAATTGATTGACAGATTTTGGAACAATGTGCACTAGCACACGTCAGTGACCCTGGCTTATTGTTGGAACATTTGAACACATGAACATTACTCGGGAGCAACCGTCACTGTAAATAGAATCTTCAATTATTGTTCTCTGATTGAAAGACTTTTGAAGAAGGTGGGTTTATTAGATGCACCTGTTCAATCTGAAGCATACACACCTGTATTAGAAGTACAACATTACTCATGTACGTAATTGTATCACTTTTACAATAATACCTTTATAATTGTTCTTAAGTATTTACATATTTATATATATTCCAACATATATCTATTTACATAAATTATTATTTGGTAAAGTAAAGTTTTAGTGTAAAGTTTTAAAGTGCAACTTCTAAATTTTTAAAATTAAGAAATTAATTAATTCTGAAGGGCGAAAAATTTTTAATTAGAACTCTTTTTTCTAACTGATACCGTTTTTGCGAATTATTGCAAAAAATAAAACACTTCTTTTGATTTTGTTAAACCCTTCCCGGGGGTTGGGGACACTAAAACTTTTCACTTTGTTTTTGTATCGTGAAATCTAACTTATATCAAAAATGCAAACTTAATGTCCAAAATTCGGACTTCAGAACTTTTTGGACTGGACTAAAACATCTTGTTGCCATTTATTTTTCAGCAAAACCTTGTATAAGAACTGGAAGTCTTTGCTGTAAAGTTTAGTTACCAGTCATAAGTTACATATGCTGAAATAGGATTTTGTAGTGAATGCTAATCTATTTATTTTGAAATCGGGAAACGAGCTGTCTAGTATGCTTACTAAATATGCTTAACCGTATATGCTTTTACGAGTATTAATATGGATAAGGTAGATCGCATCTGTGACATCACCGCCACTAAACTGTATCATCAACTGACTCTAAGGCTGACAATAATCAACAAATACAACTGATTCTTTTAAACTTACAATAAAATAAACTGTAATCAAGTACCTATGGCTAACCAAATATGCTTTCACGAGTATTAATACATAGAAGAAGGTAGAGAAGGGTTACATGGTGATTAGTTATGTCTTTATTAAATTGTTCACCAAAAAGTATATCGAAAAAGTAAAAGGAAATAATAATTGTTGTGTGCGATGGCAAAGCCCGAAAAATATATGCTATGCTATAGAATTTTTAAACTTTGCGTGATTAAACATTACGCTAAACCTGCAGTGCTCTCGCAGGCAAAAAGACTAGATACATAACTACACAAGGAAAAATAAAACAACACAAAAAATTACAAAGTGACAACACATTGTGTGTGATTGCACATTAAAAATGGTCCAAATGTTGTGTTGTTACTTGTTGATGTACTAGTAATCATCACTTACTTATACATCAAGGAATTTTACATTTACTTGAATCTAATCACCACTAGAATAAATCCTAAAAATTATCTTATGTAATTATGTCTTTGAAAACATGTTCTCAATCACTGATTTGTTTACAGGCGACGCCGATATGTCGCTGAAACAGGGCAGCGGCACCGGCAAAGTCCACTTCGGTGGTTTGGACGATGTGTCCCTGTACGGCACGCCAGTGGAACCAGCTCCTCCAACGACGGACGCCAAGCAAGGCTTCCTTCGGAATCAACTGCAGGCTCTCTTCCAACCCACCGACAATAAACTAGCCATGAAACTCTTCGGTTCTAAGAAAGCTCTAATGAAAGAGCGCATCAGGCAGAAAGCGGCTGGTCATTGGGTCATACATCCCTGCAGTAGTTTCAGGTTAGTGAATTATTTATGTAAATCCTAATTTTTAATATTACGCTGCAATGGTGGCACCTTTTATCACCGATAATCTAAACTATTCAGTTTTATTAACATATTTTTTCATTTGTAGTGTGTCAAATGGTGACAGTTAATTAAATTAATATGATTGTAAAATTACTTTTTAGTTTTACTTCTAGTGAGAAAGAAATAAATATTTATATTTTACTATTTCATATATTATGGATATTTTAAATTTACCACCTTTAAGCACGCTGAGCCAAACCATAGACAGTATGTATAATGTGCTTTGTATCGAGCCCAACGAGCACACCGAATACTACAGAATTTAGCACCGTAGCGGTGAGACTAAAATGCACACGGATTGCGTTTTAGACACAAAGATTTTAAAATGATAAATTCTCCTCCTGCAGAGTTACTGTAATGGATAGCATTATATAGAACATCGTATAAAAAGTAAGAGAAATAGTTTAGAAAAACACCATCACACCAAGATCGACTTTGTTTACGCAGCCTTGCATTTGGACGAAATTTAATGTCAGATATTTTCAGTCTTTCAATTCGTTGACGACCGATCGTTATTTTTGACGTTTGCTGAGGCATATGTGTTTTTCTGTATGTTTCAATGTCAAGCTTTTTGTTTGGTATTTTTTGTTTTTATAATTTCATAAATAATATTTCATTGTGATGATACGTCCATGTTGTCGTGTCCGTTTTTCATTTAGTCATTTTTGTTGGTTCATCATAATATATCATACTCAATCAGAAGTTGTTGAAAAAAATTTGTACCATTTTTAATACACAATTTTTTACACTAATTATCATGTCACCTTTACCCAGTAAAGTTTCTGACAAGATATTAAAAATAACAACATTCCTATAATAAATATAGATTTAAGACATCTTAAATCTAAATGAATACATAAATTTTTTGAACTGAAAACTTCATTAGGCCCGTTGGGCATTTTTGAATAACAAACAAAAGAATGTATTTTTTGAGATGGGAAAAAACCATTGAACTCGCGACACTGTTACCGTTACCGATACCTCTGTATATACGAGTACGACTCTGTATATCGTAAGTATCTACATTTATTGGCCCCATTTACACGAGAGTTGAGTTTGGGTTGAAATACATTGATAATATAACTATTTATAATATAAACATATATTATTACGCACAACATAGATATATGTATATTCATGACGAAAACAAACAAAAAAACCTGTTATAATAAAAAAAAAAATCTCTTCTGTCCGCACTCCCGGGGTGCCACTGTTTGTTTCTAATGTATGTAATTGTGAAGTGCAGAAACTAACATTTTTAAACAATATGTGCTATATAGTTAAAAATTATGTACAAACGGCTACACAGAGTCCAGTATATAATAGGTCTTTACCTATGAAATTGCCGTTTTGTATGCAATAAGTGAAAGTACTTATTTTTTCAAACTTTTTTATTTCTGTTATTCGAAGTAATCACCCATGCAATCGACGCATCTTTGCTAACGCATAGGCAGTTTATTGATGCCCTTCTTGTAAAAATCAGCTAGACGGGAGACAACAAACTCTTCAAAGGCATTTTGTACTGCCTCTCGGGAATTGAATTTTTTACCCACTAAAAAGTTGTCTAAATTTTTGGAAAAAGTTATAGTCGGTAGGTGCAAGGTCTGGTGAGTACCAAGCAACCAGCTTTGGTCAATCGATCGTCCCCACTGCTCCTTCACGACAACGCGCGACCCCATACTGCGCAACGGACAGTCTCTAAGCTGCAAGAGCGTGGGTTGGAAGCTCTCCCTCATCCGCCATACAGTTTATACAATTACAGGTCAAGTTATACTGGTCAATGAAATAAGGCAGGGCAATCAAAACGGTCAAATCCGACAGGCAGATGATCTCTAGTAATTATTACACATGACATACCTGTTCTGTTTTTATGTATTAGTCTATATATTTGAATCAATATTCAAAAGAATATTTAGTGATCATAAAATTAATTAAGTATTATGATGTTTTACGTCTTTTTTTATATTCAGATTAATTAGTAAACAAAAATTAGTCATTTAGTTAATAAATTATTCTCTTTCACTGTGCTACTAAATTAGATAGAAGTCTAAGCGCACGAAATTAACGTTTATTAAATATAAATAATTTCATAACATTATGCGTAAAATAAATCTAAATACATATTTATTTAAAAGTTAATAAATTATTTTCAGAATGAAATCAACTAAAGGTTTATAACATCATAGTAACATTATAGTACTACTCACATTTATTTATGCAATTTGATACTGTATCTGCTGCAAAACAAAGTAAAATAAATTTGCTGATGATCTAAAATTGTACCGCTCAATTGAATCATTCGGTAATTCTAAACTAATCCAAAACAATCTTAGACAGATGCAATGCAATCTACGAAATTTGATGTAAATTAATGCTTTTTATATAAAATTTACCACAAATAGAAACAGTACCTACCTACTTACAAAGTTGGCACAATTCTAAACAAAGTTAACAAAATCCGTTATTTTGGCGTTATACAAAGCAAATCTTCACGTCAAATGTTGAAAAAACTATTATTATAATAATAATAGCCTTTATTCAACAATCTTACATAATAAGTACATATAGGTATATCTTAAGTATTAGATTTAAGTTATATGACACTAGTTTCACGAAGATTGTCTTGCTTCCCAGCATAGGCCTCTCCTAAAGCTTGCCATAGAATGCGATCTAGTCTCTTCCTTCTCCATGTGATGCCTGCTATTATTTTTATGTCATCCTCCCACCTACGACGCTGCCTACGTCTACGTAGAAAGGGATTCTTTCTCTTGTATTGCCCTGCATACCACTCAGTTGCGTCTAAAAAACAATTATTAAAGCAACCTAAATACCCGTATGATTAAAAAGAATCACTACTAGCTTAAGAACTATTACCACCAAAGTACTCTTCCTATGCAATAGCCTCGTTGGCAGCCATTTATCACACTGCCACTGAATGGTCATCGTAACGGATTCTCTTATAGGAAACTCTTTGACGAGCGGTTATCCAAATTTGAAATTAGACGCGTATTTGCCCTTCTTTTTCTCTATTAATTGATTATCAATAACACTCAAAGCAGTTGTTTTTTGAAAAAGGTACCCTTGGTTGTTCCCCACTTTTATTCTAGGCACAGACTTAGTAGAATATTTCTGTATTTCTGTAGATCTCATTTAGGTTTACAATCGCCTATCAATAGAGCTCTCAATCAGTGGAATATTATTCACAAGCAATTCAGACCGGTGATTCATCCAATTCTTAATTTTAAAACTAAATTGCATAAAAAGTTGAATAACTCAGATAATTAATAACTCACTGACTAATATTCCTTTATTTGTTTTATTTTTTATTTCTTTACTTTGTTTTATATGTTTCCTTATATTATTTATCCTGATATTTAGGGTAGTGTGCCAGGTCATCATAGGGGAGTGGAGGGAACGACTCGGGCAACCGAGCGCCGGGCACGCCGTCATCGCGATTGGCTCGAGAGGCTTCACGGGACCCTCTCATACCGATTGACGCAGGTGATCACTGGGAAGGGATGTTTCGGGGATCACCTGTGTTTGATCCGCAAGGAGCCAACGCCTGAGTGCCACCACTGCGATGGCCGGACCGTGGACACGGCTCTCCACACGCTGGCAGAGTGCCCGGCGTGGGTTGAGCAGAGGCGAGACCTCGTGGCGGCCATCGGAGTGGGAGTTCTCTCGCTCGATAGCCTGATTGCGGCTATCGTGCGGAGCGAGAGTGCGTGGAACTCTGCCGTCTCCTTCTGCGAGCAAGTTATGCTCGCGAAGGAGACGGCGGAGCGGGACCGGGAGAGGTTTAGGACTCTCCCGGCCCGCCAGGCCCGGGAACGGGCCAGGTACCGCAGGCGACTCAGGCGCCGGAGGTAGCAGAACGACCTCCGTCAGTGCCAATGTTATGTATATCGTAAGTGTCACGCAGGTATACTACATCAGATACATACATATACTTAATACAATTTGTAATGCCTAACAAATACATTTACAAAAACCGATGTTGATGTGATATTAGAATCAACAATATCGATTCAATTTTCATCCATGAAAATTTACATACTAATTTTACCCGTGGAAGCCTCCATTAACATGTAAAGTACGTACACATAGTACACATAGATATGTGATCCTACACATTCAAATCACAGTAACATGCTTGCAAACAGAATACTGACGGATTAACCCTGAAATCACAACACAGTTTAACCACCTCAACCGTCGACAGAGACGAAACATCCAGTGTATAGACCAATATTGCTGTTAATACTACTTCACAAATTGATTGTAGGCCTCTTGTTCTAAATATAAAAACTTACCACGTGATGTTTATAGGTGAAGTTTGAATGATGCAAGGTCGTAATTGTATACTAAAAAACAGTGAAATTACCAGATACTGAACTGAGTTCGTTTTAAATCATTGTTATCACGCAAACATGAGCATAATATAGGTATTTCAAAATAATTTTACACTAATTTAGTATTGGCATTAGTTCGAACTACTTATTTTTATTCAATATTGATATTTAATAGAAAAAATTGTGTTAATATAAATTAAGTATAGGCTTCACAATGAATTACGTGTTCACAAAAGTAGAGTAATAGGTATGTACTCACATATTGCTAATTAAATATTCAGATTTCTCATTATTTATAACTAATAAGAAATCAGACAGCCCGAACTTTTATTTATAGAAAGTTAGGAGGAGGAGATCTAGAAATAAGATTTCCGTGATAGAAATAGAGGCACCTCCTAGGTGAATTTAACTGCAGGTACATATTTTACTGTGTAGGAGCAAGAGTTGCCATCCATTTAAATAATTTTGCAAAATGAGTCTTCTGTATTTTCTATTACTCATAGTATACCTATGATATTTTTTCTTTGTTTCTAAAAGTGTATTCTGGGTTAATAATGACGATGAACTCATATAAATGATACTTGTGATAGAATTTACAGGCATCAAT